TCCAGAAAGGGAAGAATGCTGTGTATGGACGAGCAGGTGATATTTCACTACTGATACCAAAGTTCTTTACAAACATTTGATGACATTTGTGAATAACTAATTATCAAGTCGCAACTTTCCTGTGGAGGGCTGGCTGCTTCTGCTTATGAGCGTGACATCTAAGGGATATTTTGCCGTGAAACTTTCATCGACAGCGGCACCCTGCGCAACAAAATTTTGATGATGTGCGCCAGAGGACACTTTTTCGCTCCCCTCCCCCCCTCTCCGCATACCTAGCCGAAAGGCAGACGGGCTCCCTCAGGAGTGTGAGAGGATGCGCGTTTCGTAGCGAAGAGTATGCCCCCAGCGGCCTAGCAGGGCCATACCGCGCCGCTCGCGCCGCGGCACGCCCACCCTCTCGCCGTCTGACTCTAGCCGTTTAGCAGAGAGAGCGTTAGCGTTGAAGAGGGCAGCACCGATGAGAGTTGCATCAATGCGGAATCAACGGCAAAGAAGGGATCCCATTTCTCAGGTTTTGAACCGTTTCTCATAAGCTTTTCTTCAGTGCTCACCACCGACTACCTCTACCTTGACTCCAGGTGGCTGCCTTTTCATCGTAAACTCCTCTCTTAAAGCGCTGGGATAGATCGGAAATGCTGCACTTACCATGAAGGGATGTGACAAGCTACCGAGTTTACTCGCATTTTCTCGTATTCAGAGGTAGAAAAGCTGAATAAAAGGGAATCGACTGGATGACGAGACCATAAAAATATATGGAGAAATCTGGAATTATCATCAATTTATTTTCTTTCAGCCTATCAAAGAGGAGCTGTTGAAATTCGACGACATGCTGGGCAAAGCAACAACGAAGGTTTGATTGATCCACATTAAGTTGATTTTCTACGCCTCAAGAAAAATGCCCTTCCAGCTCATCGATGATAAGTATCAAATGGCTCCTGACTACATTGTCGTCACTGCTGGGTACGAAACAACGTCCGCGAAAATTGGCGTCGTCAGCGGAAATTTCACCCAGATTTGGAAGAAATCTGGCAACTCCTACTTTGATCTATCACGACGAATATGAAATGAAATAAAGATGTACGCATCAACATTGATTGAACTGAGCAACCAGAAGCAAGAAATACCACCAACTGGATAAATTGCAGACGAAAAGGACGCGTGCAATACAAAGTGGGATGAGGCCATGAAGTATCCTTTGAAATAGGTCGGCGCAAAATAATGTGAGTGAGGAGCTGCTGCCCGCTCCTGTAATATGCGAAGAGATGCAGGAATTCGAATCCAGAGTCAGGGGAAGTGTAGCCGATCTGGAGGTGGAATGTGTGGGTTACTTGATGGGCCGGAAGCAGCAACCCCCAACTAGGGGATGAGTCCCCGAGACTCTTCGTCCCTACTCTGGTCGGTCGACCTCATGGCTACAGATTGTAAAGCGTCCAGAGATGCAGAGTTTTGGGGTCTCATTCCCGACTAGTAGTTAATCCCTGGTTAGTAGTGGTTCATAGTGATAGCTGATTTTTGGTAAATGATAGTTGTAATTAGTGACAACTGATAGAATACAACTGCAACAGGCTAATCATTTCATTGGCAGAAAACATTTACATTTTGTGGAAGCCGTCGTCATTTGTGGTGTATGGTCTGCACCCGACGCTCTTCTCATTTTTTGAATGGGAGGATACGTTCATCAACATACATCTTCAATACATGACACATTTTTATTATCTCACCGCGTCTGCCATGTGGTGATGATAAATTTCACTTAAAATCATATATCCTTCGTCTCCGGCAGCCAGGTACGTATCCACTGCAGACTTCACAACACAGCTTACGACATCGTAAACAAAAGGTTGTAGTTTTCAGTCTGTTCAGCTGGCTACAATTGTAGTCAACCAATTGTCACTAACAACATAATATTTATCAACCGAGCTATAACTATAAACTACTAATTATCGTTTTTATCATTTTTGGAAGCCGTCGTCACTTATGCTGTAAAGCCTGCAGTGCAGAACTCCTTGGAATCACAGGGCACATGGAGAAATGTAACTTTATATTGTATGTGCTGTGCCTATAAAATACATGCATACGATATGAGTGAAAAAACACTTATATTTGCATGCAACACTCGGCGCTGAGTATAAACAGGCGGACGCCAGCGTATTTTCTCGCTGGGCAGCAAATAGACACGCTAGATATAGAAAACTTCGCTGTAAAGCAACAGTCCCAGCAGGGTTCTAACCAGGGTGAATATTGCTTGAGGATTCCTCAACGGCACGTCGAGGATTTTCGCCTGATCCTTTACGTTCTCGCGCGCGGATATTCACTCTCGCCACCCGCGAGCCGTCTGTGCTCTCCGCGCGTACATTCACTCTCGGCACTACTCTCGCACAGCAGAGAGCGATGGTCGAGGAATTCCTCGACCGTTATTCACCCTGGTTCAGGACACTTGATACTAATGGGATGGGAAGATGCACTAGCCATAGTCAAGTGCATAACAACTGTCAATGAACTAAAAACTCGCCTTGGAAAGCCGCTGGATGCGTGACGAACCCTCTCTAGGTAGGTGGGCCGCCACTGTGGCGTGGACGCCTTGTTGGGCGAAGACATTTGCACCAGCACCGGCGTTGGTGCGATTGCGTCCGACGCGCGGCTACCGTAACCTGAAGCGCCTGATTATTCGTCAGTGGGGCGTAGTGATTGGAT